GATTACACTGATATCGAAGGAACTAGACTCAGTTCCGAAATATCGCTTACTCGAACCGTCCTGACCGCGTAGCTCAGTTGGAAGAGCATTGGGCTAGTATTCCAAAGGTCGTAGGTTCGAATCCTGCCGTGGCCAGGCATATTTTTCAAGCCTGCCCGGTGTGGATATACACTCAGAGTAACATCACACAAACATCTTATTCACCTGAGTACATTACACCAACACAGCAGATTTCATGATTATTAGATTACACTGATATCGAAGGAACTAGACTCAGTTCCGAAATATCGCATACTCGAACCGTCCTGACCGCGTAGCTCAGTTGGAAGAGCATTGGGCTAGTATTCCAAAGGTCGTATGTTCGAATCCCGCCGTGGCCAGGCATATTTTTCAAGCCTGCCCGGTGTGGATATACACTCAGAGTAACATCACACAAACATCTTATTCACCTGAGTACATTACACCAACACAGCAGATTTCAAGTCTGATGATATCAACAAGGTTGTTACAAGATGTTAACAGCTTGTTCCAAACTTGTTGACAACTTGTGACAAGCAGTGCGAATACAACTTGTTGGCAGACTTGCTACAAGATGCGAGATTTTTACGCCTGTGCCTGAAAAATATAGGCAGAATTTCGACGTTTCGAGATTTATCGAGAGATATGGAGCATGAATATAGTTAGTTCACCCCCCTGAACGTTCGTCATTTTGAATATTTTCAGGGGGGTGAACGCCCTTCGTAAGCACACTGGCTAGGAACATGGCGTCAGCATTGCAACGGTTACGCCGAAATCGTAAATAAAAACCAAGAAGTTGGCATTCTGTAAAGGCGCATTTCCACGGAGGAAAATTTTCGGCAGAAAGAAAATTTTGTAAAATGTGATTGGCCAACAAAAATTTTCGGTCGGAAAAAAATTTTGAAGTTGAAAATTTTCAACTTTTAACAATGATATTTTCGGAAAATTTTTTTCTCGAGTGAAAATGGGCCTGAAGGATTTATTTTTAATTTAATTTAATTTAACAAATTTTATTTGGATCGATATTCACAATTTTTAACAAACAAAAGAATATAACAGAACAAATATTACATTAAGTTAAAATAACCTAGATATCAAGGTACGAACGGGACTCTTATAAAAGGTCCCATGCAGGGCACCCACCTCCAAAATAGTAATCATGGTAACAAATAGAACATCGCGAACTCAAACTCGCTAAAGGATTCGATAGGATAGGATAGGATAACTTCTGTAACATCTCTATTCTGTGATTCAATACAAGAAGTAGTGTGAATATCATTTTACCTTGTTCACAGTTACTTTGACAGCAGCTTGGCGTAGTCCGTCCCCACTGACCGTGATTGGTAAGGCTGGACTGTTCGGAAGCTACAACAATAGGAAGAACAACTTCGATGCTGTTTGGGTATAAATCATTGAAACAATAAACAAATCATAGGTCTAATATTTCTATGGTATAAATGAAAAGCTAAACGGCAGTAAATCAAGGCCCGTGAAAGCGGAAACACGTGAATGTGAACTCAGTTTTACCTTCGTTATTTGATTGCCAAATTTATCACTAAATGTAACGATGATGTCATGTTTAAGGGTATCACCAAGCTGAATCTTGTTATCCTGGCACGTGCATTTCATGTTGGCGGGTTTGTCTGGTTGTGGTCTGCGGATAAAAAGGCAAGCATGGAAATAAATGAACAAGGGCCGGTTGTACGATAACTAGTGATTTTTTCAACCCTTGTAAAATGCTTGAAAATTGATGAAACTACGAATATATATCCCACAACGAATGATTCTAGGTATAGAGGAAATTTTGATCTGGACAAGAAGAATGAAATCCATTACCCTAGCTGGAAAGAGCATCTTAAAATGAGTAAAATTGCAAAGTTTGGTTGCGAATTGTTGTAAAATGAGGAAAATATAGCCCTGTGAAGTTCGC